GAGAAGCCGCGAGCCTGGCAGGGAGGGAGGGGGCCGTCTTGTTAATGGCGTGGACCTGGGGCAGCCCCGGGGCTCCTCCAGGCTGAGGCAGGTGGGGAGTCGGACCCAGGCAGGGACAGCCCGGACAGCCACCTGACCTGGCCACACCGAACCCTCCAGGCTGCCCGCGTGGCTTCCACCCTCGGGTTGGAGGTGAGGCGGGTCCCTCCACGGGATCTTTGACCAAAGGGACTCCAGTGGCGGCGGGATTGCTAGAACCAGGTGCTTTCTGTAATGACCGCCTCTCGCCAGGTGCCCCCGGCTGCTGCCGACCTCCTGGAACGACCACAGAGAGACCGTGAGGGGCGGGGACGGCGGCCCCAGCTCCTGGGAGCGTGGAGGGCGGAACAGGGTCGGTGTTACGGGGGTGCAGCCCCTGAGGGATGAGGGTCCTGTGACCACCGTATACCCCGAGCCTAGCACACGCCTGAGACAAGCGGCACACCCCAAAGTGAACTAAGTCCCAGCGCCCGCTCCTCGGCTGGGCGTCCCCAGGCGTCCCATCGCCTCCCGGTCTCCGTGGCCTGACAGTGACGCTGCACGTGGCAGCGCCTGGGGCTGTCGTCTGGATGTACCCTCGCCCCAGACACCGCGGCCGCGCCGACAGAGTGCGGGGCCCAGGCCCTGGCTCGGAGCTTTCATATAGTGACTCATTTAAACCCCAACACGACTCTTCGAGCAAAGCTGTGTTTTCTGTCTTTTTTTCACACCCGCTTTACAAGTGAGGCAGCAGACACATACAGGGATTCCGACTATAAAGAGTGGAGGAACGTTCCCTCGTTTCTAGTCTCTCCAAGAACATACATGAGGGTGGCATGATTTGTTCCTGGAGGGCCCGAGAGAACCCACGCGCCTGCGGATCTGTGGGCCTGGAATGCTCTGTGGGACCCCAGCCCCCGGACCGCTGAGGCTGCCTCTCCATCAGTTTTGGGGGGAGGTTAGCCACACGCCCAGGTAGCAGGGACTCAGCTGCGGGCAGCCTGGCTGCAGAGCCGGCTCAGAACCATCACGTGTTCCTGCCTACGGACCCGTCGCTTTCTCCCTGTGAGACGCGAATAAGCCGCTTCCTCTCGTCTGTGTAAACGCAGAGAGCGATCGATGGTCGCTCCCTCGCAGGGTTGTTGTCAAGATTAAATGGTTTCAGAAACACCAGCCTGGCCGCCCTCTGTGCCGCTGCCCTGAGCGTGGTGTCACCGATGACAAGCCCAGCCCAGGCCCTGCCCTCCCCCCCCAGGACGGCTCCCTGACCCGTGGCCACCACATCTGCCCGCCCAGTGACAGTGCTGCGAGGGGAGGCCTCGCCCACTCCCGGGAAACCCCGCCCCTCCCGGGCCAGGGGGCACTCACTGGTTCTCCAGGTCCTGGATGGTGTCAGGCAGGGGGAGGCCCCGAGTCTCCGGGAGGAAGGGTAGGACAAAACTGGAAACGATGAGGATGACCCCGTAGGTGAGGGGGGGCAGCAGGGGCAGAGCCTGGCGGGCCGTCATGATCAGGGGGCCGACCACAGCGCCCAGCCGCCCTGCCGACTGCAGGAAGCCGTCAGCCGTCATCCTGTGGGCAGAGGGAGGGCGTGGCCCCAACCCTTGTCATAGCCGGCACTTCAGAGGGGGATTTCACCAAAGGGGGGCATTCGGCTGGGTCAGGAGGTGCCAGGGGAGGAAAAACTGGGCTAAGGGAGTTGCCCTCCTCAAGGTCTCCCTTAATGTCGCCTCCTCCATGGAGCCCACCTAGGTTGTCCCTTCCAGCATCCTTCTGGGCACTCTAGGGTAGGGCCCACTCCGTGCTGGTCTTAGGTGGTTGGGGGGCTTGCCTCAGGGCTCCTGCTAGGCCCTGTGTCCCAGCGTGCGCTTCTGTATAACATCAACAAGCTCGATCAATGCACATCCAATGAATGAACGGAAGGATGGACAAGCGAGTACGCGAGCGCCAGGAGTAAGGGAATGGTTGGGGGGCTTGCCTCAGGGCTCCTGCTAGGCCCTGCGTCCCAGCGTGCACTTCTGTATAACATCAACAAGCTCGATCGATGCACATCCGACGAATGAACGGAAGGATGGACAAGCGAGTACGCAAGCGCCGGAGTGAGGGAACGCGCGCTGGGCTGGGAGTCAGGGAACGAGGGCCACTCCTGCCGTCTATCGAGGAAGTCCCTGGATTTGAGTCCTTAAGCCTCAGTTTACCCAACTGCCCAACGTGGGGGTGGTCTCACTTGGGACCATGGGTTTCCCGTGTCCCACGGAGCCTTGGTTCTGAGGGTAACTCTGCTGGTACAGGGAGGGGCAGGAGGAGGAGGAGGGGTCCCCACTGGACCAGGGCAGCTCTTGGCTCCCTCACCAGGTTCTGAGATTCTACCTGCACGGAGGGAAGGGCTGCTTTGAGGCCCTGGCTGAGGGCGGCCTTTGGGGGGAGGACGGTGGGCCGTGCGCTCAGCTCCATGTTGGCAGCTGGTTCCCTCTGCCCTCTGCCGGGTATCCCTGGATGCCCAGCCCTCCTTGCCCTCCCCTTTCTCGTCCACCCCGGCCTGGCAGCCCCGCCTACCGCAGTGAGGTCGGGAAGAGCTCCGACTTGTAGACAGAGAAGCAGGTCAGGCACACGCCCAGGCAGCCCTTCCCCAGGACGGCGAAGGCGACACGCAGGCCCTGCCAGTCTGGGAGAGGGAAGGGAGACGGGGTCTGCGGAGAGGGCCCGGCCAGCCTGGAGGGAGGCTGGGCTCCTCACAGGCCTCCCTGGGCCGGAAG